CCTCTTGTACTGTGGACCCCAGAACTGGACACAGTACTCCAGATGCGGCCTCACCAGGGCTGAGTAGAGGGGCAGGAGCACCTCCCTCGACCTGCTGGAGATGCTCTTCTTAATGCAGCCCAGGATCCCATTGGCCTTCTTGGCCACGAGGGCACACTGCTGCCTCATGGTCAACTTATCATCCACCATGACACCCAGGTCTTTCCCCGCAGAGCTGCTCTCCACAAGGTCGGTCCCCAGCCTGTACTGGTGCCTGGGGTTATTCCTCCCCAGGTGCAGAACCTTGCACTTGGCCTTGTTGAATTGCATGAGGTTTTTCACCGCCCAGTTGTCCAGTCTGTCCAGGTCCCTCTGGATGGCAGCACAGCCCTCTGGGGTATCGGCTACTCCTCCCAGTTTGGTATCATCAGCAAACTTGCTGAGGGAGCACTCCGTGCCTTCATCCAGGTCATTGATGAATAAATTGAACAGGACTGGACCGAGGACTGACCCCTGGGGAACACTGCTAGCTACAGGCCTCCAAGTAGACTCGGCACCGCTGATCACCACTCTCTGGACTCTGCCATCCAGCCAATTCCTAATCCACCTCACTGTGCACTCATCTATCCCACACTTCCGGAGCTTGCCCAGGAGGATGTTGTGAGGGACGGTGTCAGAGGCCTTGGTGAAGTTGAGATAGACGACATCCACCGCTCTCCCCTCATCTATCCAGCCAGTCATTCCATTGTGAATATAATTAAAATGAAAAACTATTACTACTGATACGTAGTATTATTTTTTTATGTCTTGAAGTGCTTTTATACACAACTTCATATTTTTTCTGGGCAGAATCTCTTTAATTGAAGGTGGTGCTGTAAGCACTGTAAACTGGCCAAGTCCAGTAATTCTGCAGGATGTTAGCAAATACTGTGTAATGATTCACAGGGTTTTATGTAATACTGAAAATAGAGGTTTTATTTTTAATTTTAAAAACTTCAGGAAGGTGTCAGAAACAGAACTTTTTTCCCCCCAATCTAATATTACACACTTAAAAGCTAAATGGACAGGATTTATTTAATTCTTTGTTATGTCTGCATATTGTACTAGCGTCAATATATAAGCCCTACAGAAACAGCTTTCTTAACTCTTGTCAAGGTGTGTAGTTTGTGTCTCACTTGCATTGCCAGCTTGTTTCATCCTCATTATGGAGTTTCTACACTGCAGCACTCATAAAAGAAACTTTTAAAGACTTTCACACTAAAAGTCTGAGCCAGAGGAGTTACTTGAGTAACTGCATCCAGCACAAGAGGCTAACCTATTGTTAAATCAGCTCAACTGACAAGAAATAGGTCATAGAAGTTATCAATGGCATAATGTGCTATACATTGTTATACTTCATATATTTTTGTAACTGCCTATTCTCAGTTGCTTTTTTATTATGGCAATCAGTCATATAGGGGGAATGATTATGCAGCATGGTCAGGACACAGTGAAGAAATTCAATAGAAAAGGCACTGAACTGCTCTGGAGACCTGTCCTCTGTTCTTGGCTTTGTCATCGGTCATCTGTATTACCTTCAGGTCATTCGCTTAGCCGCCTGTACTTTATCTCGTCTTTTCTTGTATCGTTCAAACAGAAATAACCTTCCATTAGACGCTAGTGGATCTTCAAACTAGCGGTTGTACCCAAACACTGTAATCTGTACATACAAACAAAGTGAAGTTGATTTTCACTGCTATTAAAAGCATGAACTGAAACTGCATCAATTTCCCCCTTCCCTCCTGCCCCATCTTTCAGTTTAAGGAGTTTTAAAGGGACTTATCTTTAAAAGTCATTTTCAAAATATATTGGAATGTCTTATAGAGGAAAGAAACTGCTATCTTTGGAAAACTGGATTACAGCAGTCATTCTTTGGCGGCATACTGTTATCAACCAACTCTAACTAAAAGATATTTGTTTCAAGACCTGACTAAATTCTCTATGAGATTCCAAAATGTCTGTAATGATTCCTTGAGGAAAAATGAACTACTTGGCGGGGGGAAAGCTTTTACGTTATCTCCAAAGTGACAGTAGTGTGAACTAGTAAATTCTTCAATTTGAGATTATGGTTATTATTGAAAACACTTGTTTTAATGAAATGATCATCACTGACAACTCCTCCTTTACTACTCAATATTAAATCTCCCTTATAAAGTGTTCATTTATTCACATTCTTTGTTTTCTTACACATAGATAAGTGGAGAGTGAGGTTTGTGCAAAGATACTAAAATTCTATTTTTCCGCATCCTGATATGAATTTTTGCTGAAGGCCCTTAGTTCAATTTTTCTGTTACGAAAATAAGGAAATTTTACTACTGCCCTTTTGGATTGTGGTGTATAAAGAACTGCAAATGTCAAAAGCATTAAGGTGGCCAAAGTATTAATTGATTTGATTTTTGTAAGACTATGTCTTGCAGAGAACAGCAGAAAACTCATGTTCCTAGGAGAACTTGTGTGACTATTCAAGGGATAAAGCCTTGTTTTCAGTTTTTCTTAAAAAGTGGGAGGGGAAGAGCAGTTTCAGAAGCAAGTACAGCTGTAGTTGTGTTAAAAACCAACTCAGTTGTGTCTGACAGTGTACAGTGTCTTGATAGGAAGGTAGAAGATAATGGCAATAAACTGTAGAGATAGTATAAATTGTCTTATCAAATTGCACAGAATTACTCAGCAAAAGACAGGAACAAAATGAATAAGGAAGATAAGACTCTGGCCCAACTCTCTATTTAGCAGAGTGGTATCAACATTCCTTTATAACTTTGTATGATCAGGGAGCTGTTGCTGTTGAGGTGACCTTGTTACACTTAATCATTCTACACTTCAGGGAACATCAAGCATCTGTACAGAGGCTTAATGTAAAGATAATCTTACTGAATAGCTAACTTTTATATAGGCATTCAGATGTATGAGGTAGTTGTGATGAGCCAACAAGACTGTTAAATGGAAAAATATGTCCTGGATGAAGCAAGTTAGATAATGTCATGTAAGGGTTAATATGTTTGAGTACAAATAAAGTTTCATTCTGAAAGTCTTAATGGGTTGGGGGAAAAGAAGCAACTTGGCTGGGGGGAGCTAACAGTTTCTGACATGTGGGATAGCTTTCTGTAGCTGCACCTAAATTGCTCGCTAAAGTGCTTTACCTCTTCGCGTAGGGTGTCGGGCAAGGCTTTGATTTAATTCAGAAAACTTAGTGGGGAGTTGTGAGAACTCAGAAATGGGAGTTCAAAATGAAATATATATTTCAGATCAGATTGCCTTTTTTTGAAATATGCTATATCCGGGGCAAAAGAGGGTTTGAAATTCATAGACAATTCAAGCACTTTGTCTTAATTTGTTGAATTTAGGTGAAGAGCCAAATCTCAGATTCCAGGGCATATTTTACTGTACCTCAAGATGTCTCTGATGTGAGGGTTTCTGTGTACTTGAATGAAGTTTGTCATCTTGCGTTACAGTTGGGGTCCTTCAAAATTTCTGGAACTGATTGTGTGAGAACATATATTGTTTACTTTTCTGCTAGTTTTCCTATCTGCTTTTTCATTTGACATTTGTCATGCTTAGTTAAAAAATATCTTCATGGAAATATCTGCTTTTCCACCTGAAGGATATACAGGATATGCATACAGATGAAATCTCTTTCTCTTCCTCTCTAAATCATGTTGTTCTTAGTTAGTTATGAAAGATACAAAGTACATAATGCAAATCCCTTATAGGTTGCTGCTTGATGGGGAGAGGGAGGGATTTCTTGGGCTGTGACCCTACAGCTGTTTGCTTCGACTTAGCCTGTTTTAGATTTGACCATTCACCTCATCAGTCCTATGTGTCAGTATAGTTTTCTGTATGTATTCTGTATTATTGTATCTGTAATATCTGCTTATTGTATTTTTATTTTTATTTTTATTTATCTTTGCTTCTGGGCACGAATGTTTAAGATTTGCAGTTGTCTAAATCTCTATTTTTGTCTCACTTTTTTTTCTGGGCTAACTAGAGTTTAGAGTTAACTGCAGCTTTCCCTAAATTTAATGCATATGTGTACAGATAGCATATTAAGGAAGAAGAAAATCAGTTAATTTCCCGTTTTTAAAGGGGAATATCCTTGCTTCTGTTCGAAGGTTGTATATAGCTTCTCTTCCCTAGAAACAAATTGTTTTTGCTTTGATGCTGTTTTCTGGCTTTGGTACAGTAAATGAAGGAAGGAATGGAGAGAGAAATTGGAATTAGTAGATTTCCTTTCCTAGAACTTTTGAGAATCAACAGGTAAAATCTAGTTGTCTTATGCATGATTAGTCTGTCATTCTCCCTGCCATATAGGTAGTTATAGTAAACCAGGACACTGTGGAATGCAAGGCTGTATTTTTCCGCAAATTCATAAATTAAAAAGTCAAACCCATTTCTGCTTATGTGAAAGAATATGTTTTCATGATATTTGGGTTTCTTTCTTTTTTTTTTTTTTTTAAATGAGGATTAAGTCTTTATATGCCCTTTCCTCAGCAAAAAGAAAAAAACACTAAAGCTACCATGTAATATATACAACATTAACCTTCTAAAGTAGCTGGCAGTGTACTGTGTGTTGCATATGAAAGCTCAACCCTTGTTAGTTGCAGTGAAAGTGGTGTTATTTTTATTGGCTTTGAAAATGGTAGGATTGCATGCTGAATGTTGCAGAAGATAGTATTATTAAAAAGTCTAGATTTTACTATGAGAGACTGTAACAAAACTGGACCCTCTGGAGAAACAGTTAAGATCTTAGTAGCCTTAATCTGTAATTATATAAGGAGAGCTGACTTAAAGTGTGACTTTGTTCACCTTCTTATCTCCTGCCCCACTAAAAAGAATTGTAGTGCTTGTCATTAATGTTACTCTAAGTTTATGTATGTAAAAAGATTATAGGCCTGTAGTGTTTCAAACTTACTTCTTGAGATCATTACAACCATTTTACAATTCAAAATATGTAACAACCAACATTAATTCTTTTCTCAATACAGCATTAAAATGTTATTGCCATCTCTGTACAAAAGACAACTTTACGTGTGTGACAGATGGGCTCTGTTTTACCTCAGTAACACGGACTGTGGACAAAGTCATACACAATAGCATGTGCATAGCAGAAATTGATCTGATTCCCCGAGACAGGCCGTTCGTTTGTGCCCCCTCCTCCAGAGACGGAGTGATTACTTTGCCTCATTGCTGTGACAAAGACCTCTGCAATAAAATAGAGCTTCCGATTCCAACACCAGGTAAGGGGTCTGGGGCTTACTAACTCTTCTTCTTTACAGCTAACAACAGCAAATTCTGTAGGAATTTTGGAATGCATGGGGAAATTAAGGGGACCGAAGTTCACCTCAAACTCTGTAATTACAATAGTAAGAGCTTTGGAACAAGAAACCGGTGTCCTGGATTGGCATATTAGAAACAATTTTGAAGTCTTAAATGCAACTGAAATATAAACTGTGAGTTGCTTTTGTCCTTTTTAATACTGGCTTTGATTCTTGAAAGTTGTTGTTCTTATGTTCAAAATTAAAAATGCATTAAAATAAGTGGAATAACACTATGAGATATAGTCACAAATGCTTGAGTTACTGTGTTACGTAGAAATAGTTTTGCCCTTTTGTTTATATATAATTTTTTTTTTTCTTTACTGACAGGCCCAACTCCAGGAAAACCTGCTTCTAACCTAGGACCTGTGGAATTGGCAGCTGCCATTGCCGGCCCTGTCTGCTTCCTCTGCATTTCGCTTATGTTGATTCTGTATCTGTGTCATAATCGTACGGTAATTCATCACCGTGTACCAAGTGAAGAAGATCCCTCATTAGATCGTCCCTTCATATCGGAAGGAACTACTTTAAAAGATTTAATTTATGATATGACAACTTCAGGCTCTGGGTCAGGTAATGCACATTTCTAATTGTAAATAATTTGTGTTTAAGAGTTTAAAAGAAAAAAATCCATGCCTTAGTACTGTTAAAAGAGCAAAAGGAAAGAAGCTGCCTTGATATAGATGCAATATATTAATAAGGGTTCAGTATACTGGAAAAATATAATAATCAAGTTTAGTTGCATTTTTGTCCCTTATTCCGCAAGTTTAGTCTGTTACACAGAGAATGGCACATTTGGCTATCATAACTGTATTATTCCTTCTATACTCACTAATGAGTGTTCCCTTACTAATGTAAAGCTCAGTCATATACCATTTTTTTTCTGCATAGCATGTATGTTTCCATGCATAGCATATATATATTTACCGTCTTCCCCACTTTGAGACATGTCAATATTCTTTTTTATCTTTAAACTGAAACTTATTTTTACTTACAACTATGTAAGTGAATATGTGAACGATATTCTAAGTATAAATTAATATTTTAGCTTGTTTTTTATCTTTACAGAAAGTGTGTATCAGCAAATACCTGTTGCTGTATGTATAGAATAGATGCAATGTGTGGCATGTGTCTGCATTATTTATTTTTTCAATTGTAATTCTGACTTCAGCAGGTGTTGCTCTGGGAGGATGAGGAGGTAGTCAGTGTTCACTGTATTTAGCTGCTGCTATCATAATCTTGACCCAGTTGCTTATAGCGCTGTGGTAGTGTATCACAGAAATCTGGTTTAGGAGGCATTGACAGGCGGGTGACATGTCTCCTTCACGATTAGTTATTCAAAAACTGAGATTTGCTGTCAGAAGAGCAACTTATGTGGTTTCCCTTCCAGCCCTGCTTCTGGAGAAGGTGTGTTTTGTACTTCCCTTCTCGTATGAGTGCAATAGGACCTGCTTCAATACTTGTTTTCTGTACCATTAACAGCAATATATATATGTGTGTGTGTATTTGCCATAGCTTATATCACTTTGACTCAGAATTGGTCAACTACTTACTATGTAAACTCTCAACTTTCCCGTGCCCTATGCTTGAATGATGCTTCCTTGTGTCTGGGAATGCCACCAGCAATTGCATGTCATTGAAGTGTGTATTTTCTGTTCAAAAGTCTGGATTGTGCATTTAAAACTGAGATGACTGTGTCTTTACAGAATAAAATTGGAGGGGGAGGTGTCTGAGCTGTTAGTTAAAATAATGTTTAATCCTATCAGAACTGAAATGTATGAAAGGCGTGTTGTTGTGGAGAAGTTACAGGAAACAGTGGAAATGGATAGAAGAAACCAACTGATCCAGATCTAGTCAGAAAAGCCCTTGTTAATTGGCACAGCATGTTCTTACGTGAGATGCACACTTAGTGTTGGGGATAGTGACCTAAAGCAAGTGTTCTTAGATTTGTACCATGCTCAAGGGGACTGAAGGAATTTGTGGTCAGATAAAAATGATTCTGCTACAATCTTGGATTATGGTACTCTCTGAGGAGCATATAAAACTGAGAGATATACAAAACTGTAAAAAGCACCTTACTACTCAGATGAAAAGCGTGGTAGGATTCATTTTCTACCATAGTAAATAGTAAGCTGCTACTGGTTATTCAGTCTTTGACTTACGTCAGTGTTTCCTTGATGTTCTACAAGAAACAAACACCAGGACCTCAAACAGTTGGAGATTGGATAAAAGGAATCAATAAAAGGCCTAAAATAAAAGCTTAACTTTCAGAGGAAGGATCTAAAGAGTAATTTGAACATCTCTTGAAGCTTCGGTTCATGCCAGGAATCTGTGAAGTAACAAATACGTAGTGCATAGACAGACTGCGAGGCGTAGCTGTAACTTTCCAACCAGGGAATGGCGGGACAACTCTGTTGCAATGAACCAGTAAGAATCCTCCAAGCCAGGACAGACAGAAGCTTTGGTTAGTGCTAGATAAGTTGATGCAGGAACTTAAAGTAGTGAGAAATCCAAAGGGTCACAAAGTCAGCTTGTTTGGATACTAAACAGTTTTACATCCAGTTCTTCAGCCAATATTGGTAACTTACCTGCAATTTCATAGAGGCAGCAAGGAAATTTTCCCATTTCAAGGGCTTTTTGGATTACTTTCCAGGGGAAGAGTCCTAGCATAGAGTTATTTAGGTTGGAGACGGGGACAGGGAAGTGTTTATTGTTCTTTGTTCTTGTACAATAAGAGGAGGAGATTGTGTAATGAAACAGTATCTGTAAGAAAACTTGATTTTTCTTACAGATTTAAGATGAATGTGGATTCTGGTGTTTTGACTTTCTGACAAGTAGTAGCAGAAGTAAGCACAGTTTCAGAAAAATAGTAATATTGTAAAAAGCAGCATAGCAGTAAGGTGGCTGATTCTTCGGGTTTTTATGGTACTGTAACATCTTAATGTGGCTTATGTCCTGGGACGTGCTAATTTCTTTAACAGAAAGTGACTTCTATGAAGAGTTCAGTAATTTTGAAAGCCATGAATCTAAAATTGAAGGTGTACAAACAGTTTTCTAAAACAACTGTAGAAAGACAAGCATTACACAAATCATATAAACTTTTAAGTACAAGCTAATTTTGTATACTGATGGGTTTTGCTGTAGTGTGCATAAATGGAAAGAAAGAAGCTTTCTCTGGCCAGTAGAGTAAGAATTCATACCCTCAGAACTGAGTCCGAGGGGCCTGTAATTGTTCTAGACCTGCCTGTTTCTTCAGGCAGGTCACTTCAGAACTCTAGTACAACAAAAGCTTGAGTTCCTTCAGCAAAATGTATGTCACCTGCAATGATTAAATCTATAGCATGGAATCTATAGCATGGTGTCCTTCTCCTCCCTTCCATGCCTTCCCCTGGCTTGGAAGCGTGCATCATGTCAGTACAGGCTGTGCAGAAGTTCCTGTAGATTTGGAAGTCTTGAGGGGGACCCGTGAACACCACGGGGTTCTAACTTACCTTCCTCAGAGAGGCAAGCGTGGCAGTGCCGCAGAGTGTATCGGATCCTTCTAGCACTGCTCCTGGCAAAGGGTGCCCAAAGGTGGGTGGCAGCTTCTTGCTCAAGAGGTATTGGTTGTGATTTGTTTTACAGAGCATTAGGATATGCAGATGCTCTTGTATCAACTGTTGGATCAGTGATTATGGAATAGTTATTTCACTTTAACACTTCCAAAGTAATCTTACATACTAAAAGATCTTATTGTGAGTAAGTAACCTGGCTGATGTAGTCATCATACAAGATAGTTTCACTGCAGAATCCCGGGAGGAATTAAAAAAATCTTAAAGCAGGAAAGACTTAAACCCTGACAACACTGTATGTAAGGCTTGTTGGGGCAGTATCAGTGCTGCTTCCTCATTGTGCTGCCATTCAGAGACCTAAACAGGATGGAGAGTTGGGCAGAGAGGAACCTCATGAGGTTCAACAAGGACAAGTGCAGGGTCCTGCACCTGGGGAGGAATAACCCCAGATGCCATGTTGACCTGCTGGAAAGCAGCTCTGCGGAGAGGGATTTGGGAGTCCTGGTTGACAACAGGTCACCAATGAGTCACCAATGTGCCCTCGTGGCCAAGAGGGCCAATGGGATCCTGGCCTGCAGTAGGAGGACTGCTGCCAGCAGGTCGAGGGAGGTGATCTTCCCCAGCTACTCAGCTCTGGTGAGGCCACATCTGGAGTGTTGTGTGCAGTTCTGGGCTCCCCAGTACAGGAAGGACATGGAGCTTCTAGAGAGGGTCCAGCAGAGAGCCACAAAGATGACTAAGGGCCTGGAGCATCTATTGTATGAGGAAAGACTAAGCGAGCTGGGTCTGTTTAGTCTGGAGAAAAGAAGGCTGAGAGGGGATTTGATCAACATGTTCAAGTACCTGAGGGGTGATTGTAGGGAGAAAGGGGCCAGGCTCTTGTCTGTGGTGGCCAGTGACAGGATAAGGGGCAATGGGTGCAAGTTGAAACCCAGGAAGTTCCATCTCCATATGACAAAGAACTTTCCTGTGAGGGTGACAGAGCCCTGGAACAGGCTGCCCAGAGGTTGTGGCGTCTCCTTCTCTGGAGATCTTCAAAATCTGCCTGGATGCCACCCTGTGCCACGTGCTCTGGGTGTCCCTGCTGGAGCCAGGGAGGTTGGACTAGATAGTCTCTAGAGGTCCCTTCCAACCTCAACCATTCTGTGATTCTGTATTGATATATTGAAGCATGTTATGAGGTGCTGCAAGTTGAAGGCTTGTCGATGTTCTGAAGCTCTATAATGTAAGCATTTTTCTTGGGTAGAATGGTAGTGAGGTGCCTGTAAAATTGTGAAGTTTGCATTAGGAGAAAGTCATCTTGTGTTGCCATGGTTTGAGAACACTAACAGGCTGCTGGCGCATTTGAGCCATCACCCTGAATGTTTGACAGTGTTACTGATAAGCATGGATTATCGTAACTTGGAAAGAGACTGAGTCTTATCTAGTGAAGAATTAAGTAAATGCAACAGTAGCAGAGGTCCTTTAGAATTGCTTTCCAAGGAGAGCTATAGGCAGCTCACTAAGAAAATTTCAATCCTGATTTGTTTCTTTTTGAATTAAATTCATGGATTGATTTATGGATCAGCAATTGTTATAATTTTAAACAGAAATTTGCTCTTTCTTGTTGACGACTGTAAAGGTAGTTTTAACCTTGTGTTACTGACATTTATGACTGAGGGTAACATCTTGAGCACATGATTGTTAGCAGTCCCCAACAAGCTGATAAGCTCTAAGAGTTTATGTGCATTCCAGAAGAAACAACCGAATCGAATGTGGCCTGCTTTATTGTTTAACTAGATGAATTTTAATTTTAATGTTAAATCTTCTTTTTAGGTTTACCTTTACTTGTGCAAAGAACAATTGCAAGAACTATAGTACTTCAAGAAAGCATCGGTAAGGGTCGCTTTGGCGAAGTCTGGCGAGGAAAGTGGAGAGGAGAAGAAGTAGCTGTGAAGATATTCTCTTCAAGAGAAGAACGCTCATGGTTTCGTGAGGCAGAAATTTATCAAACAGTTATGTTACGTCATGAAAACATTCTTGGATTTATAGCTGCAGACAATAAAGGTTAGTAATGTGTAACACATTATATGTATACTCGGAGTAGATGGCAACTGTAAAAGATACATATTTTGCAAACAAGAATAGTGAAAGAAACTTGCTACTTGAGTATCATCTTCCATAAGGTGCTCTTAGATGATTTTCCCAGTTCTGCAGAATGTATGTTTTCCTTTTTCTAGAAAAAAAACTCAACTATTTTAAGCTGATTGTATATTTAATGAGGTTCAACTTAATGTCTACAGGCAAGTTAAAATACCAGTCAAGCCTAGTATCAAATGGAGGTTTAGTTATCCATTAATCTGACAGGTTTGCTGGCAAGTTTACTGAATACTTACTTGTTGTGCATGTCACTTTGTGGGATGTGTGGGACCAAGAGAAATCATGCCCTGAAAATGAATCGTAAAATGGAAGACTCATTTCTAAGTCTATGATATGTGAGACTATTATTTAGAACTCCCGTGAGCCAAGAAACTAGAAAAAGGAATTTCTAGTTTGATCGTCACATTAAAGAACTGCATCTAAACCCTGAAGCTGTCTTGGATGAAGAGCCTTTAAGTATCCATCCAAGAGGAACAGTTTAAACATTTTGCAGCTTCTTTACCTGTTGCAGTCTGTCCGGTGAGATTTTCTTTGATCCTTCTGCAGTTCTGTTTAAGATATGAGAATTCTTTGACAAAGTCACCAGTAGTTCTGAGTTTTTACATTAAGATAAGCTTAAAATATTACACTGACTTATTCAGTTATTTTTATTCTGAAACAATGAGTTTTGTCGCAAATAGTCTTTGACCTCTTTGTTAAGAGGTCATTCACCAAAAACTCTTATCAGCCCTGGGGAGAAGTCAAGGTTCCACACCCATTCTGGATGTTTAAATGGCTCTTGAGGCTTTTGGTTCAACTTCCCAAGTGGTTTCTTGGTGCAGCTGGTGTATCCATATAATCCTCCATATCATCTGTGGAACTGGAAGATGTCCCAAGAGGTCATGTAAACCATTCCTTTTCTCCAAGCGAGGTTTAACTATAGCTGAATTGTTCCTAGCAGATATTCATATAACTTGTTAATCTTCAAGGTTGAAGGTACAGAGAGTACTAGAGAACTTGTTACCAGGTTCTTAATATCTGATACAATTTTATGCCTGAGAGTAATAGTACCTGTGAAAGCTTGAGTTTATTCTCATGGACCTAATTAAGTATCTGGAGCCTATATTTAAAACAGATTGTCACATTTAAATATATAGTATAAAAACATTAATAAAATTCACCTTGGTTTCTCAGCACCTTCTTCTACAACTAATTACTATTCTAGAAGTAAGTGCTACTGTTAAGCCAGTTTGAGGACTGAAAAGCAATGCATGCTTTTTAACTGCAGTCGTGTTGTGTCTGGCTAAATGATTTTCTGTTCTGGCTAGCTCTTTTCTTAGCCAGGAGCGTATGCTAAATTTAAACTAGGTCAAAAAATTAGCTTCCAGACTAGTTAATTGGGTTAAATGCAGATAACCCATGAGGCAATTCTCACCTGCACTACTCTACTGGCAGGAAAATGAAGTCTGCAACCTCTTTCAGTGGTAAAGACTTCCCTGGGTGCAGCTGTCTAATAACCATAAACTAATATAACTAAGCACCTTTTAATAAGGTGAAGTCTTGTGCTGCACGCTATTTAAAACAGCTTTAGGCACTAAAATATTTTGGTTCCTCTATTTCTTCCACTTGGTTGAGGAAGCTGCACCTTTCAAGGTGAAAGTTCTGAGCTCTGCTCAGTGAGGCTTCAGTACGTGATAAGTGAATGCCCAGGAATGATGGTAGGCAAGATGCTGCAGGGAAATGAGCAGAATGCCTCCCTCTTGAGAGAAGTAGTGCTTGAGCCACTTACTCTTTTTGAAGCTCTGAAAAGAAAGAACTTGACTGGAAGATCTTGTTAAAAGCTTTAGGCCTTTTTTTATCCATGTCCTTTCTTCTTTGTTTCGGTTTTATCACATGATTATCTTAGTGTGGCCAAGCCACAGTTCCACTGATGATAAAACTTCCAGGCACAGGAATAAGCTTTTCTTAAAAAGTCCACATTTTTGAGTACTTTATAATTGTAGATTCTATCAGTATCTGATCTCTTTCACTGATGGTTTTCTTCCTTTTTCCCATTGTCATTTGACTGCCAAGAAAGGTTAGCAGTATCCTGTTGTCCTATTTTGAAATGTTTTGAAATGTCATACTAAACAGCATTAGGGGAGATTCTGTAACTCTTAAGCCTTCACCTGGAAGGATAAGTTGGGAGTTCAAAACTTCTGTGCTAAGCAACTGTCAGACCTTCACCTAATGTTTTGTCTAAGACAGATGCAGCTTTGAAATCACTAACTTGCTTTCATAAGCAGCAATTAGTCTCCCAACTATGGACATGGAAAAGTTTGTCTATTCACAATTTCAAATTTGCTTATATTGTTACAGAAGAGAAACCTGTCTCTGCTGAGTGATTTGATGGTCTTGAAATATTTTCAGAAGGTTTCTTCCAAAGAAAGGGAATAACTATAGCTAAGCTGTTGTATATTTGTTTCTAAGGGCATACATAAATTCTTGTCATGTTCTAAAAAAAAATTGCTTGAGCTTCTAGCTCATGGCGCATATATGAACTAAATTAGATTACCTTGCCATTGTTAGACTGTGCTACTGCATTTAATTACTACTGAGCATGATTGTATTATCAGGTAAAGAAAAAGGAAGCCTTGTGGCATATGCAGTTTAATATGAGGCAAAAATGGACTCAGAGTCTTCTCATACTATCTACAGAGTGATTAAGCATTCTGCTTAGATTCATGAAGAAAAGCATATGTGTAGCTTGTCAAACAAGGACATTTAGAAAAATGTAGCAAGTCCTATATAGCTGGACGTTGATGTGCTCATTGCTGCATTTTGACTTAAAAGTCATGTAAGCATGGATGTAAGAACTGTTCCATGTTAAAATCTGTTTGGAGGGTTGCAAACACGAATGGGGAAGAAACATGGCCCCATTTGGAATAGTTAAAAGCTCAGCCTTCCATTTCCTTCCATGGAAAGAATGTAAGAAAAGGCTAAATGTTTAGACTTACAGGTAATAAATACAAAAAGTAGGTATGCCTACTGCATGTTAACAGCATGCGCCTAGAGATAGGAAGAAAGTCTTTATACAAAGATGTTTCAAAGCAATGATAATTTCTCTCTACAAGAGGAAAAATGACAATCAAAGGGAGCTCTCAACTCTGCCTTTATACGTATATCTGATGCAGAATTCTTCAGATGTTTGGTTACCTCCTTGTACCTACCAAATCTTGTGTGACTTGGAGTCACCAACTTCAGCTGTTTGTGGTGGTGCTGGCATCACTTCTGGGACAGACCAAGCCTCTAAATCTATCCTTCCGTGTTTAAGACAGTACAGATGGTTTGAGACCGTTTCTTTCAATGGCGGTTACTTATTTATTTATTTATTTATTTATTTTGAGTGAAGAGAATGTTCTGACTTCTGAGATTTTTCATTTTGAACTTGTACAACATCGAGCTCTTGGACTTTTTGTTTGAAGTAGTATCATACATGCCTGTAAGCACACGAGTTTCTAAGGGTTCTGTGGAACTGATTCAGTGAAATTTACAGCTGTCAAATTCGCTTGACTTTTCAGGGACCATAATCTTCTTTGAAAAAAGTTATTAGGGTTTATTAGAGTTTTTATCAGTAAACTTACCTTGCTATTTAAAATAATAAAAGAGAAAGCAGCCCTAGATTTTAGAAGTAATCTTCATGACTTACTTTTCTTGCCCACTTTTTGTTAAAAATAACAAAACTCAGGATTTTTTTCTGTGGGCATATTGTAGGGGTTATTTTTACACTGTAACAGAAGCTTTCTGGTGGTCTTTGGATTAGAGCATTTGATTGCTTAGTTTTTCATGTTCACATGGACAGCTTAGTTAAGAGTGGGCTCTATGTATAATTTGTGTTCCAGAGCGTACCAGTTAATCAGCATGCAAATTTTATTTTTATTATTAGAACTGGGATATAGACTGGAAGTTTTTATTTGTGTGTTCCATGAAGTGTGTGGGTTTTTAAGCAAAAAATGGAACCTTCAGCTTCTCTAGAAACTTTCAGGTGAAAGGAATTCTTATTGATCAGGTTGCTATTGATTTTTTTAGCCCAAAATTTGAGGCAAATTTTTTGAGGGAAGTGGTAGAAGAGAAGTTTATGTTAGAAAGTTCTCTTTGGGAACCTAAGAAGTGATTCGTTTGCTCGCTCGTTTATCATAAGAATTAGCTCTGAATTCATTTCTCTCCTTGTGCTTCGTGGTTAGGTCTCGGCTGTGTGTTCTGCTGGCGCTAAGGGACGTGCCGCATCGTGAGGGAGCTTCGCTTGGGCTGGGCTCTCACCTCTGGGAAGAGCGGCAGAGTAGAATCTGCTAGGGGGAATCTGCTACGGGGGAGTTACCGTTCTAGAGAGGCAGAATGCTGTTCTGTGTCCACAGGCTTAATAATTTGAACACCTTTGCTTTTGCATTTCATCTGTAGGTCTTGGGTTGTGTTGCAAAGGTAGTATAGCCTCTGCTGCAAAAAATCATGCCACAAACCGCTTTTTCTTTCTTTCAGTCTCTTTATCTTTCTGCCTCCCTTCCCTTTCTCTCTGAGCTTTGGCCAGAAGTGTGGTGGTCATGAGAGGTGGGGTTTGGTTTTGCCCTGAGTAATGTGTCAGGTTGCTGCATGCAAGCTTCTACTGCTGGATAAAAATCTTCTGGTAATTTTGGAATTCGCCTCCAAGGCTGAGACTGGATAGATCTTGAGGCCAACCTTGAAAGATCTTTATTTGAAAACAGGACGTAGACACAGAAAAAATAATTCTTAGAGCTGGGAATATTGGTTTCTGTCCCTTATTACCCTTAATAACTAGCTCAAAGAAAGAAAACTCTCTAAGTTAGGCTGTAAGATCACACACAGTGATTTTTTTTATTTCATTTTTTTAAAAAAGCATGTCACATTTCTGTAAGTAGCCCAGACAGTTTTATACTGTGATGGACAGATGTTGGCAACATTAGCTCTGCATCATGCATTCAGCATTTTCCCCAGGCAGAGAAGTTAGGAGAAGAAGGAAGGGCCTGATTAATAACCGTAATTTACTTCTGAGTAACAGTAATGTTGATTTTCTAATTCTGATTTGGGTGGTATTATTTTATTCAGCTTGTTCAGAATCAGAATGCCTTGCATGGTAATCCCCTGTTTATAGGGTTAATTTTTTTTTTCTTTCTTTCTTTTTTTTTTTTTCTTCCTTTTTTTTTTTAGTGGTTGTATGTGGGTTTGCATATGTGTGTGTTACTCATGCTGGTGTTACTTTGCAGATAATGGTACGTGGACCCAGCTGTGGTTGGTGTCAGACTATCATGAGCATGGATCACTCTTTGATTACCTGAACAGGTATACAGTGACCGTGGAAGGAATGATAAAATTAGCTTTGTCCACTGCCAGTGGCCTTGCACATCTTCACATGGAAATTGTTGGCACACAAGGTAATCCTTACAGCTGTTCTGTCTATCAGGTGGATAATACTAGATTAGAAAAAAAACTCATATGCAACTGTTTCTACTGTAATTCTCTTCTTAGTTAGAACATTAAACACATCCAGGGTCTAGCTGCTCTGCAGATACCTTGCTTTGCAGATAGCTACTCATGCTCAAGCTAATCCCCGAAGAAGCTAAATGAATTTGAAAGGGTCTGTGGTAGGTTCTGAGCTAATAAAACATTTTAATTTGATGTAGGCAGTGTGTCTTTGGTACAAGTACGTACTGAGAACAGTATGCGAATGAAACTTTCAGCCCCCTCAGGGTATGGCAATTTATATTAGTATTCTTCTCTTCCCTTCCTCAACTTTCAGGCAGATTGCAGACCTCAGTTTCCACACAGTAAGGTGGCTGCTGCTCTTGCTGTAGGGTTTTATAAGTGACTCATTAGTAAGTCATGCTTGGGTATTCTGCTGTGCATGTCACCTTCCCTTCTGTACTATATCCACTTGTTATCGCTCAAAAATTTGTCATACCAAATGACTGTTAAAAGGCACTTAGCAGTGCCTGTACTTTTTAACCTTGATTTGTGATTTCCTTCCCCCCACCTTTTATTTTTTTTTTTATCATCCTTAAGGGATGCTTTTTTTACATGGATATTCGGAGTCTTTATGTGGCAAGTAGTGTTTGTGTCCGCAAATGTATATACACGGATAGATAGATAGAGGGAGAAGAGCTGCAGAGAGACAGCTTGTCCACAATGAATGACTTCAGGAAGTACTCTTGATAGTACGTATGAAATTGCAGAACTAGAAGGGATATTTTGGCAACATCAAAACCTGTACCAAGATTAGAATAATACTGTCTGTCTTTTGTTAGAAATAGGGATTTCTTTGCCTCCCCTCATCTTGCCCTTTCTATTTTTTTTTTTGTTTGCTTCCAGGAAAACCTGCAATTGCCCACAGAGACTTGAAATCAAAAAACATATTGGTGAAAAAGAATGGAACATGTTGCATTGCAGATCTAGGATTGGCTGTAAGACACGATTCAGCTACAGACACCATTGATATTGCTCCAAATCATAGAGTGGGAACAAAAAGGTCAGTATGATCCTGTTCTTCAAAGGCCTGCCTCTGAATTTGCAAATATGTATTTTGCCTTTACAAGAATTAAGAGCTGATGAATGGCGCTGATTTTGATGCGGTTCAGTTTCAGCCAAAAAGTTTATCATTGCTGGAGCTTCAAATACTAAAAACTGAAATGCTGAATATAGGTAGGACTAATTTTGTTTAATCTATGCAGCTTTATAGCCAATAGATATAGTAGCAGTAACAGTTAACTAAAGCAGTGGGATTGTCCAGTGTGGGCAAATCCTTTTGACACCTATAATGTCAGTGGTGCGTCAGTGGTTTTACTCAAAATTTCTGCCACTGAGAAATGCGTGGAAGCTCTATAGTAATTCAAGGACGCACAAGATTAACCTGAACAAGTGCACTAGCAGTGCTGGACAAATCTCTGCTGATGTTGCCCGATCTCCACCCCATACCTGTAAAATTTTTTATGTTTTCCCCCTCTCTGCTTTCTCCTCACTGTTGTGTTATATGTGTTACAGTTAACGAGGCTGCATGTAGCAGCTGGAGGTTTGTTTGTTTGTTTGTTTTTTGGAACTTGTATTGGAAATTTTTACTGATGACAATATTTCTGAAATTGCAGGAAGTGACAGGAAAGCTTTCCTGCATTTAGTCCTTTGTCCATTTTTTAAAATTTTACACATATGGTCAGGTGAAACTTACTTAAACTTTTTATGCCACTATACAGACTGTATGCAAGAAATAAAAGAAAGCTAGACTCTAACTACAGCTACATGCAAAGAAAAATGACACGCAGATCAGTCACTCTCTTAAGTCTGGTCTTTGGAGGAAGAATGTGTTCAGCTGTATCTGTAGATCCTCCTTGCAAGATCTCTTCTTAAGCTGCCTGTTCATCTGTCCTATGCTGCTTTGCAGGAGTAAAGCGCTGGGGACCTTATTGCTGCTGCTCACAGCAGCCAGCCTAAATCTGCTTCCTCTTGGAAGACATTAGTCACTTCTACCTCTCTGCAAATTGCTCACTTAATGACGTGGCCCCTCTTTCTCCCTCTTGTGAGTAGTTAAGTAACAACTCTACATCTTTGGCTTCAAGTTGGTCCTGCTCCTTGTTCTCCCATAGTAACACTAAAACCTTATCTGTTCTGTGTCAGTTTTAATTCCCACTGACTGCCATTGCTGGAATCTCCTCTACATATGGAGAAATCTCAAGGGCAAGTTCAGTGTGTTTTTGTCACACCCTGAACATGTTTATATCATCATGTTTATATCTTTCTAGGGATTGTCTATTGCAAAATACATGGTTGAGGGAGTAAGCAGGACCCGTTTTCAGTCAGTCTGGCCGGTGATCCCTTTCTTAGGGTGAATGAATCCTTATTTCTTTTCTTCTTAGAGGCTTAGCTTTACTAGGAGTGTGAATATGTGTTTCATCAGCTTGGCCTGACAAAACAGGAAGATGTGAACTTTAAATTGAGAAGGAAATAAAACCACTCTCTCCAATCCTCTGAAGCAAGTAAAAAATAGGCTAGTTCTCCTTTCTTTTTGAGAAGTGTGGAAAAATTGTCACTTTTTAAAATAAATAGTTTTAGAGAAGTAGTTTGCATATGAATTTTGCCTTAGCATGAGCACTTTTCTGCAGTTTACCCAGATCCAACACAAGCAGAATTTAACTCTGCTTGGGAGTAAGGGCTTGGTGAAAAGACAGAGTTGCACATAGGATGTTGTATATGGGTCTTGTTCAAGGGCATCGAACACCTTGTGTACTGTACTAGAAATTTAAGCAATTAAAAGCCCAGGACTAGAAGGGCAGCGAGGGTTGGGGAAAGTCAGCAGGCATCTAATGATAGGCATGTCCATACACAAGATCATTTGTAACCTTCTTTGTAGACTTGTCCTTGCATTTTTGGAGTGTAGCTGCATAACTTGTTCAGAAGTTCAAATTCTATCATGTTAGTCTATGTAGAGTAGTTTTCTCCAGAACCCAAAGCCCTGTTTCTGATGAGCAATGCAGTATAGTAATTGCTAAGGAGGTGGGTGTTTCACTCCCGTTGGATAGCTGCGAAACTCCTACTGTTCTGTTAACTGCACTGGATGACCTGCTTGCCTGTCACCTCTTGTTTCGTCAATCTCTTTTTGAGCAATTAGTCTGCATTCTGAGTTGTTAAGGAAGCCAAAATCAACATAAATAGTGTCTGAGAATTACAGTAAGAGGTCAGTTTGCCAAGAAATTAAATGGAAGTAATTTTTAGGCAAGTATGAATTTGAGGTTATTACAGATGCAGAACTTTATGTTTTTTTTTTTTTTTTAAGTCTCTTGCCCCTAGGGTGACTTAGAATTTGAACTGAAATCCTACATTGCTTGTGTAGTGATTCTGTTACACTTTTTCCCATTCTGTCCTTCTTCCCATATGATCTTAAGGTGGATCAAATATTCTTGCTTCTAGACCAGTTGATCACTATATTGTCAAGCACACTAAATAGCAAAAGAGCAGTGTCCAATATGTGTGCAAGATCCTTGTGCAGAGCAGAAAAATATCAAACCACCAACCTTTGATATAGATGATGCAGAAAGACTTGAATCTTGGCTGTATGAAAGACTGTGACATCCTGGTGGCTTAAAATTAACACTCTGCATTCTGTTCAATAGATACTGTCAAAGAAAATTCTATGTTCCTCTCCAGACACTTGTCCTCTGCTTATGCACAGAAATTACATGTCTGTGAACTGCTTAGAAGACATTCCTCACCCCAGCATCTGAGCTTCTGGGCTACTCTTTGCGTTTTTTCCTCTTGTTGCCAACTCTTGCTTCTTCCTGTGTCGCATCCATTGGACACAGTAGAGCTGAGAATTCTTAAAGCTTATTTCTAAAGAAATCTTGAAATTTATGCTCTTCTACTAGGTGTCAGTCTTGCATTCTGCCTGCCATCACTGGTGTTAGTGGAAAAAAAGGTATTTTTAAGACTCTTGGACTATGTTGATTGCATAAAATTGTGCATAGGGTTCTCCTGTGGCTGTTTTAGAGGTTGAGTTATTGTCCAACATTGTATTCCATTCCAGTAGTTTGTGCCTGTTGCTTTCTTACCAGTTAGCTGTCATTCTTTAAAGCCCTAGTGTCATTGTTTGCCTGCTTTATTATTTTGAGATTGACAAGGCAGTAGAAAAATACACAGAGCTCTCCAATGTTTACACACCACCCTTAGCTGCAAGAGGTATACCAGGTTGACAAAAATGCTACAACCACCACTGTGACAGCAAGTACCAATGCTTCTAGCACCATGAAGGGAAGTGCCTGTCAGTCCCACCACCATGAGCCCACCTTCATAAGGCCCCATGCCAACGTTTTAGTTGGAATGTTCTGACAACAGGGTATAGCCGCAGTGAGGTAACAGTGTGGTGTTACTGCATAGTGAAGAATCAGTTACTTTAAGGCTCCCTACCTTAAAGTAATTAAGAACATTAAAATAAGAAGCCCTTAACAGTTCTGTCTTTAAGATTGTGCCCCATGAGTTCAGCCTTCCCTCTCTGCTCTCTTGGGATGATCCTCTGTAAATCTCTTCCTTTGTCTCGTAAGTGTTCTTCCAAAAAAAAAAAAAACTCTCCTTTATCTTTTTGCTGATCAGCTCCCAAAATGAAACTATGTCTCTTTTTGAAGTTGGATGTTTCTAAGACCTTCTGATAGAGTTTACTTTTTGTGTTAAGAACATGTGTTTTTGTGTTAAGACTAGCCAGCTTCCTGTAAACTGCTGCTTCTTACACTTCTTATGTGTGAAATCTGTTAGTGCTTATCTCAGTTTGGTATGTGGAACCTCTCTTTGTTTGTTTGTTTGCTATTTTTCTGTTTGCTGTCTCCCCTCCCTTCACTTTTGCCAAAGATTAAGCCTTGGTAAACTGCACCCTCCAGTCCTTTAGTACCTTGCTCTTAAAGTCTCACTTTCTTATTACTTCACATTTTCTTATTACTTTCTGAATTGTCAAGCATATACCTTGTTGATAACCAAACATAACTTTTTTCAAGGAATATATGGGAATAGTTATCTTAGTTGTTTTTGACCACTGTTTTCACTGATTTTTGAAAATGCATAGGATAAGAGCAAAGAACCTTTGAACATCCTAATCTTCATGAACTACTCTTTTCTCTCTGAATCTGTCTCCTTTTCTGCACAAACATTTAAACTAGCTTTTGAGCCAAATAATGTAACTGAACATCCTCTACTGTAAGTACTTATGTCTGTTTTATTGCAAACAGGTACATGGCTCCTGAGGTTTTAGATGATTCCATAAATATGAAACACTTCGAGTCATTCAAGAGAGCAGACATCTATGCAATGGGATTAGTATTTTGGGAAATAGCTCGGCGATGTTCAATTGGTGGTATGTGGCAGTCTTTACAAAACTGGACATGCTAAGGAGTTATAAACAACTTGCAGAATCTGACTAGGTTTGGTTAAGCTGTTTCTCTAAAGAGTGTGAAGTGAGCATGTCTTAAACTTGCTAATTGTTAATCTTGTAAATGACTGGCTCAGCTTGCCTTTGTGTAAATTCTTAAACCCTACTTATTGAAGAAAATAGGAGCTAGTCTGTACTACTACTTCCTCTAAAATATTTACATAAAGCAGAGAAAGGGGTGAAATTAATGTTTGAAAGGGACGAAGGTCAAGTAAGCTCCAGACATAATACATGCAGATGATGTGCATGCCTTATTAAAAATAAAATGTAGTATAATAAATCGTCTTCAGTATGTCAGTTGAAAGGTTTGGCATGTCTTCTATCTTTTCCAGATATATAAATTTCAAAGTTTAAAATTCAAGTGGAGTGTTAAAACTCTTAAGATATGTTTAAGGCTTGTAATGTGTTTTTGTTGTTGTTTTTATTGTTTTTGTTATCAGTCATTAATGTGAAAACAAATGTTGGGTAGCAGTAAACTGTAAGCATAGGTAAAAAGTAAAGAATATGTAAGTTAACTGTTAACTAAAGTAAAACTATTTTCAAACAATTGCAGGAATCCATGAAGATTACCAGTTGCCATACTATGACCTTGTCCCTTCAGATCCTTCAGTTGAGGAAATGAGAAAAGTTGTTTGTGAGCAGAAACTAAGGCCCAATATTCCAAACAGATGGCAGAGCTGTGAGGTGAGTGTTACTAACTAGACTGAAACTGTTTGAACACCTTTTATTGATTTCAGCAGCTTAAAAAGTGTCCTTGACTTTTATTTTTCTTTTTGAAGGGGAGGGAAATACCCTTGAGAGATTTTGCTTTCATTCTAATCAGTCTGGCTTTATTGAATGCCATTAATCTTTGGTCATGTGTAAATTGTTAAAATGGTGTCAGAAAAGTGAATAGCAGAGTATTCTAGGATCCCTTCCCGTGCAGCAATTGAGAAAGTTAATCTAAATTTGATGTAGGATAGATTATATTCAGGAAGCATCATTGCAAATTGAGATGAGTAGGGGATAGTAGAGATAAAACTTAGTAGGGGGTAGTAGAGATAAGAGCTAGTCAACATCTATTGGCAGCGCTGTGCCCACGTGGCTGCACTGCTTATTGGGCACAACCAGTGCTGGTCTTCAGCACTGGGGCGCTGCCTCGGGTGTGTACTCGAGCCCATGCAGAGCTAGCTCAGATCTCTTCACTCCATCACTGCACAGTAGGTGAATTTCTTCAAAAAACATAATGGACTTAGTACTTTATCTCCCTTCATTTGTATTGTGTGCTCTTATTCAGCTTGGACCGCGGTTATTAGGAAGCTGAGTGTCTTTGGGTTACAAACATTACATAAAACATTTATGCATGTAATGACAGCTCCTGATCATTGAGGAATACAGCTGATGAAATTAGTGAGCTGCTCTATATTAAACTACCTTCTTGAATAGCACTTCGAGGGAAGTGATTGAGTATATTCTTAGCTACACGCACATTGGTACCAGTTTTGGGTGTCTTACTCTATTTTACTACTGCTTTTCAACTGGAGGCACAATAAAAACGAGAATATTTTTGTTCAATGCAAACAGAAAACAATTCAGTGTCAATTTCAGAGGATCATTACAGTCAAGCTGCTGTTTTTTCATTGAAATATATTAGTATGAGTGAAGTGCTGAAAAATCTACAATATTATAAAGAACTTTGTTTTTCTGTATTGAAGTGAGAACTTGTTTTTTTTTTTTTTTTTTTTTATACGACACTCTTGTATGCAGCAGTACTAGTCATAGATTTCAGAAGTGTATATTGTAACAGGCCAAGGCAGAACAAAAGCACATTACATGGGGAGAGAACTGCATGTAATTATTTCTTTCCTTTGCAGGCGTTACGAGTAATGGCAAAAATTATGCGGGAGTGCTGGTATGCCAACGGAGCCGCTCGGCTCACGGCTTTGCGCATTAAGAAAACGTTATCACAACTTAGCCAACAGGAGGGGATAAAGATGTAATCCTGGCTTTGCTACTGAGGAGTACTGTCAAAATCTACCCGCGCAGGTGGCGTGTTACGAAGGTTAATTGTTCTACCTCACTGAGGGAACAGGAGGATATTGCTGCCTTTTAATACTTCATAGGAACATCACTTCTTAGCCCCAGGATTTTTGCGGACGTGCTGAACAGTTGTGTTGGGTCCTTTCTGTGCACTATGAACACCTCTCTCCCAGAATACTTAGAAACTCTTGTGTAGTCTAGTTTTATTTTTTTATTAACCTGTAAATTCTTATTTGGCAAGTTACTAGCTGGTGTTGACTTCTAGTTAACTGTGCTAAAAACAAAATGAAGGTCACTTCTGAAATGGAACAGTTTACTAAATTATTCTGTAGTGCATTGATGGCTTTTTAAGCAACTTTAGTCCTGGCTTGGTACATTGAGTATTCTGAACCATTGTTACAGTTCTTTGATTCAGATTTTGAATGTACGTTGCAGTATAATCTGCTAGCTATAAGGTTGTGTACCTTTTGGACTCTTACCTTGATTTACAAAATGACCTCTTTCACTTGTGGGGAACATAATTTATGCAACTATACTTTCTACATGCTTACGTTCCTTTTTTTCTCTCCTCTTTTTTAGAGCATTACATTGCCTTCAAAGTAGATTGTATTATGCCAATAAGTGCCGCTTTTGAGCCTTTTTGATGCAAATCAGTAGGAACAACAAAGCCTATGGTACTTGTGGTTTGCAAATTACAAGTTCAAAAGTCAATTTGTTTAGCTAAGATCTAATTCATTTTTTTTTAGCCAGTGAGTACATAATTGTCAAGATATCTTTAATTTTACCAAAATCTGATTTTTTAAAAACCACTATAGGAGTTTTAAATAGTGAAGCTAGCTAGTTCACTGTCATATTTTGTAATAGTCCAGTCATGAGTTTAATTATCTATAAAATACTTTCTATCAAGTGGTACTTTTAAAATGCTTGAAGTGCCCTTGTCTACTTAAAAGAAGTAGCAAGAGGACTAAAATGTTCTTACACGAGATTCTGCTCCTTTAAATCATCTACATAAAGTATATCTTCTGTGCAGCTCTGCAGAGTCGTTAGGCTAACAGAACAATATTGGCAATTAAACAAGGATTAAGTGTACCTGTAATTAGGGAGGATTCATTTGGGCTTTTGTACTAGAAAGTTAAAAGCTGCTTATAAACTTTATGTGCATATATTTTGTGTGTGCCTCATGCACAAAGTGGTGACCTGCAGGTCTTTGATACCAGAGGATTCCAGCAATCCTCTCCATAGTTGCAAGAACAAAGCTTATGGTGGCTTGTGTTGTCATAAGAACACAGAAGAATATGCATAGCTTTAGTTCAGATTTGCCTGAGCATTTAAGACAGCTTTGGCAACCTTGTTCGTAAACTGAATTGCTGCCTGCCCAAACATACAATACCCAGGGAAGAGCAGGGGAATGCATGTGGAAATTTAAATCCGCAGTCTCCAAGGCGTAAATATATTTGAATTGTAATATTAGGAAGAGTCTGGGTTGCCATTTGACTTCCCCAAAAAAAGTTATTTGGATTTCTGTATGTAAATGTGCCTGGCAATTAACATGACTCTCATAACAGTTAATCTCCTAGTCTCTGGAACACATTAAATGCACACAGTAACCTTCATTCTTTTCTCTTTTCATGCCTCAGCATGAAGTACTTTGTGAAAAATTCTCAAAGCTATTAACTAGCTGATAGTTGTGGCTAGTAATTGTTTCTTGATCTGTGGTATATGCTTGCCGAAGCAATAAGATGGATAAGTTTTAGTAAGAAGAGTTTGTATGGGTGGCATAAGGCAACCTTTGTGCAACTGGACAGTCAAGATATGCACCACAGTTTTTCAGTTAAAACTTACCAAGAAATGATTAAGTGCATCCAGACTCACAGTGTACTTATTTGACATCTCTCTCTGACAATTTCTATATATCTAGACCAATATTTAAAGAAAACACTTCATCACTGAAGTAGAATTTATTATAGCCCCATACTATGTTCCTATAGTTCCTTTATATCCTATTAAAAAAAAAAGGAAAAGGTATCTTTATAAAATTCTGAGCTTTCCACAGGCATACCTGCTTCTTCACCATAGATGCAAATGGTATAAGTCATATTTTGCAAATGTCAGGCTAACTGTGTTTTCCCAGTCTTTATAATAATATCAGTGGTGACAAGTGGTGGTTTTCAATAATTCATCAAATTTCATTACTGTTTAACAACAGCAAAATCTTAGCATGATGATGTTTAGTCTTCTAAAATGCAATAAGTTCTGTTGCATTTAAAAGAGAATCTGAGTCAGCTGAACACAATCACGACATGCAGATTACTTCAGTCAGCTATAGAGTATTTTGTTGCATTGGTTAACTCACCCACCTACTAGTCTTAGTTCTCCTGAGTTAATAGTAACTATTCTTATGTTGTTCTAATTCTTAACTTTGCAATAGAACCTTGCAAAAACAAAGTGCACAAAGGAGGCTTGATGAAGTGTGTGACTATGAAAGTTATTTGGGGACAACCATTTTATTCACGCTAAATGCGGAGCAGGAAAACTCTGAATAGAGCTGTGTGTATCCTCAGTTCTGACAGCACAACTGAAAGCTTTGTTCTTTTCCATTATATATAAACTGAACACCTTTTACAAAAGGTGTGTGTGTATATAATATGTAACTTTAAATGTTACCTGTGTAATATCATATCTTATATATATGGACACAGGTACACATAAGTATTTTTTAAATTAAGATTGTAATATCACCAGATCTGCTCTTGGAAATCCAGGGGGACCAAAATATTTTAGCATTCAAAATATTAATTTTATATCATTTCAAGTATATACCAAAACAATTTCTGATGAAGACTGATGCAAATGTTTGTAAATATGAATGCATTATACATTCACTCAAGTTTCATGGATTTAATCAGTTTGACATTTTAGTAGCATTGATGCCTCAGTTCAGTTTACAGACTTGTGATCACGTGGATATGGACATGAAGAATAAGGAAAGTTGGAAATGATCTTATGCTGAAAGGCTTGAAATGTTGTTTTTTGGAATGCTGAACTTCTTCAGGGACCTTCCAAGCTCAAAATGCTAGAATTCTGGGATGTTTCTCAGGCTGACTTTCCAAGCATGGCACACTTACGCCCTCAAATGGTTCTACTTGTAATCCGAAAAAACACTGTGTATATAGGATAAAGACTTCGGGCTTGATTCAATAGGGGCACGACAGTCTTTTTTTTTTTTTTTTTTTTCTCCCCCATAATTGTTCTGAGAGATTGCCATGAAATTCACCTTTTAGTTAGCTCCCTATCTATACTGTGCCATTGAAACGATTACAAGTTGGTAATCATTTTGTGTAAAAGAAAACATCACTCTATCAGTTGCTTTAAACTCAGATTACCTCTTTAAAGACCAAGGTACATTTACCTCATATGTATATAATGTTTAATATTTTTTCAAAACATTCTCTGGGTTTGCAGTTATGTGTTTCTAGAAATATGGGTATACTAAATTTACAACTTCACTGGTACTAAATGTATTATCTGATGCCCTAAAACACATCCGTTTTCTGTATTTTATTGTATTACTGCAAGTTTGCTGCTTTGTCAATGTAGCACCTGCCCTTACATAGCTGTGTGGATACTACCTTGTACAAACTTTATTTCTTGGGTGATAAATTTGAGGATCCTGTACAGATGAGTGTCACTTTTTTAAATTTTACAAAATTGTGTATTTCCCCATACATTTATGAAAATATGTATTGTATTTGTAGAGTATACATTTCAATGGATTGTAAATAGACAGTAGAAGAGTGATGCTTATGTTAAGTGCTAACACTACAATAGAGAGATTAAAGCAGTGAAAATAAATTACTTTTTTTTTTCAAAGTATTTGAGTTGTCTTTCAGAGGAAGAGATTATCAGTAGGTATATTTTGTGGGCTTGGTGTTTTTACTTGGCAAAATGTGGAGTAATAATGAGCTGTTTGTATTTCTCCTATCAGGAAAATAATAAAGGAACGGCTTCCTAGTGCTGGGACAATCCATTTCATGTATCCATATGGATAATGATGAAGTATTTGGTCTTCCTCCTTTGTCCTTTAATAATTTTTGAGTGGGTACTTTACTGTTTTCTCTGATCTCTTGGCTAAAATAGCTAATGATTGTTAGAAAATTTCGCTTCTCAGTTAGGTCTGCTTCATCACAAACAGCGCTGATTTCCTAGCAGGAGAAACGAATGTAGGGCTTGCACATAGCTTATACAGTGGCAGTAGTTACGAACATTCTGGTTGTTCAAGAAGGATAAGAACTGAACAGAGCTGGAGTGTATTTTCTACTTTAAGAATCAACTTT